AACAGGTGGCTATGACTAGCACTTGAGAGGCTGAGGCAGGATGATCTTGAGTTCAAGGCCAGCCTGGCTACATAGTGAGTTCAAAGCCATCCTGGACCACACCGTGAGACCCTATCTCCCCTGCACCCCGGTACTGGGGATCGAGCTCAGGACCCTGAACTTGCCAAGCAGGCACTTATGCCACTGAGCTATATCCCCAGTCCTGAGACCCTATCTCAAAACAAGGCGAAAATAAAGGTGGCCCTGAGGTTATTATTATTATTTTTAAAGTATTGATCTTCCACATTTTTTTTAGTTTTTTGAGACAGGGTCTCGCTATGTAGCCCAGGCTGCCCTCAAATGTGGTGATCTTCTTGCCTCAGTCTCCCAAGTGCTGGGACGACAGGTGTGTGCCACCACACTCAGAGTACTGATCTTTAGAGATACACCTCTGGTCTGTGCAAGGCCCTGGGTTTGGACCCCACAAGGCCAAAAATTAAAAAAAAAAAAAAAAGAAGAGAGGCCAGAAATCCCCACCTGTGAAATAACAGTGTCCAAGTTCACAGTACGTAGGGCTGCGGCTCACTTCAAAGGAAAACAAGCCGAGATGACAGCTGTGGGGGCGGGTGAGGGGCACTCTGGGGCTGCAATACTGTACTGTTCTATTTTTAAAAAATTTTACACACCCAAGAGTTGCCACAATAAAGTTTGTTAAAAAACAACAAACAAACTGGGGCCTGAGATTTAGCTCAGTGGTGCAGCACCTGCCTAGCAAGCATGAGGTCCCGAATTCAAATCCCAGTGTAACCCTCCTAAAAAAAGCCAAACCTCCAACCCTCCTGGTTTACCTTTTCTGGTTCTCGTTTTAGGTGAGACACCCCAACATACTCTGCTTCCAACTGGTACGTGAGTGCCAGCACCTGGATATCCGTGGCCGAGAGGCTGGGATAGTCTCCGGTTTTCTTTGAAAATTCAGTCACTGTGAACAAGGCATTTGCGACTTTAGTTAGGACCAAAAGCCCAACAGAGCCCTGGGGAGCCACAGTGAGATTATCAGGAAAACTAAGAGGTCAGCACCCCATCAAAACGGCAACACTGTCCACCATCCCTCTGACCTTGCCTGTTCACTGCTGAGAATCTGCATCCTGCCCCCGAGAGGCACTGCCGTGAGGCTGACTACAGCGCCCCTATCAAGTACAGATGCAAGCGCAGACTCTGCCGACAGAGAGCCACTCACAGCTGCCGGATCTGAGTTGGATCAGAGCTCTGCACTGAAGCAGTCCTACATCAGAACAATCGCTCCCTTCTCCCAGCCCTCCAGTCCTTGGATTCCACGTGTAACAGTTTACACTGCCAGGGGTGGCCCATTCGGGACCGCTTCTGTCTCAGGAGCTATTCCTATTCCCCAATACATTTTCCTACTCTTAAACAACCATAACTGTAGTCTATGATGAAACAAAAAAATACTCGATGGCTTTGTAATAAATAATGGACAGGTTTTTT